CCTAAATATCCACTATTCAGGACCAGAGGGGCTCTATTAAAGGGGTACTTGCGGGGGTCCTGTTAGCCCCTCAGCTTTGTATTTCGACTTCGCGGGAGCCGCGCTGCGCGCTATCCGAGGTAAGGGTGTTTGCACCTTCTCCGACCCAGAGAGCTGGGATGACGCATGGTCTGAGATGGTTTTTGCATGTTTTCTTCAGGGATTATATGCTTTTGTTACATGTGTTTTAAAATGGCTTGCAGTGCAAGGTGGAAAGTTGACAGGGGTCTTAAACGATGTAGAAGCTGTTTGTACAGGTTGTATTGTCCTTGAATACGACTATACGACTATACGACTTGAAAGGTGCCTGTATATAGGTCTTATGTGGTTTGCAAAGGTTTCATAGTGTTCCGTAGTGGTTTTGTGCGGTTTTGTACGGGGTTTACATTTTAGGGCTTTGGCTTTAGAGCTTAGCTTATTGTCGTGATGCAGAAAAATGATGCAGACTGTTTCAACACTACGTAATCGTCTGAATAGTTGATGATGTGCGCACTTATAGTCCCTACATCATGGCATTTTGGCATACCCGGCCCAACAACCTATTCACATTATGAAGGTCCTTCAATCTGTAAATCTTCAATATAAATCTTCAAGCTCTGGCTCTGTCCGAACAGTAGCTGCCAAAAATCTCTTGTATAGCACCCCTTTTTCAACCCTTTAGATCCGTATGCAAACCCGAGCCCAAGCACCCTAAACCCTACACCATAAACCTTCTAAATCCTTACGCCCTCGATCCAGGAATGGGTTGACAGCCCGGCCGAGCTGGATGACATCCTTTATGGCTACGGCTGCCTACAGAGCAGTTAGGGTTTAGGGTTGTGGGTTGTTTAGGGTTTAGGCGTTTAGGGCAGCATGCCAGTCAAACAGAGGGATCGGATCAATTCCCAAAAAATGTTCGTTCAGACGATAGTTTATCCCGACACCAAATTGCAAATTCTCAGGCACCTGCATCATAGCAGCTGGTCCAGTGAATGTATTGCATATGCAACTATACGCTCAACGAAGTTCCCCTCTCCCATAAGGGGGCCTATTATAGAACCCCACAGTACCCCTTAAGGGAACCACCCTAAACAATAAGCCCTAAACCCTAAACGTATTAACGAACATCATTGGTCCGCCTCCACATGCAACCGAGGTTTTAGCTACACACACCGTCGCCAAGCGAGCTTGCTGCACCTTCGGCCGGCTTTCGCTTTATTCTAGTTAAAGGCCCACAAAGGCCATGCGCATTATTAAGCACGTTACAGGGCTACCCCTACAAAAAACTAGTGGGTCTAGCAATAACGGGTTGAGTTAAATATTGGATATCCCCAACCCTTCATTGAGGATGGGTTTGTAAGCGCTTATAGGGCTTACCTAAACCCCAAAAAGTAGGTAACATAATGGCCCAAGACAAGACTTACAGAAGGCGATTATTCTACTCTGTTTGGGGTCCAGGTATGAGGTTTATAGGGTTCTGTGTTCAACGATCAGGGTTTGGGGTAGGGTTGAGGCTTAGGCTCCAGGCTACTGGGAATACAAAAAGGGTACGAGGGTTTCCAAACGGCTATACCGTATTCCCCAAGAACCTACCTTTTTTCATGACTTTGGATCCAAAGGGTAATTCCTACCGCCGAAAGCCCTAAAGCCCGAAACCCTGAACCCTTAACCCTCAACAAAACACCCTAAATCCAACTCCTACTCTAAAGCCCTAGCCTTAATCCCTACTCCCTGCAACCTTAAGCCATGAACCCTGAAACCCAAACGCCAGGTTTCCGTACCCCAACGTCGGATTCGCCGAAGATGCGCCTTTTTTCCTCAAACTCCGCGAGGTCTACGGAAACGATAAGGCCAGGTTTGTGTGGGTGGGAGGATGGTGGAGGAGGGAGGTGGCTCTGGAGTTTGGAGGTTAAGGTGCCTTTCTGGTGTTTCAGAGAGTCTGTTGGGGTTAATATCGAGCTTCGGGGTGTTTACGGTGCCTTCTGAGGTCCTAGGTAGTATTAGGGAGACCCCTTGAAAGGGGACCCTTCTGAACCCTACTTGTGGCTCTCTTAAAGGGGACCTTATTGAGAGGGTCTATATCCCCAAGGGTCCCCCTAATCCTAACTCCCAGGAGGGGGACTCTGGAGTTTGGGCCCGGCTTGACCTGAGAGTTAGGGTTTAGGGGTGTAGGGTTTAGGGTTTTAGGGTTTTAGGGTTTAAGGGTTTAGGGGTGTAGGGTCTAGGGTTTAGGGTTTTAGGGTTTAAGGGTTTAGGGTTTAGGGTGGAGTTTGGGGGGTAAGGTGCCTTTCTGGTGTTTCAGAGAGTCTGTTGGGGTGAATATCGAGGCTCGGGGTGTTTACGGTGCCTTCCTGTGGTTTCAGAGAGTCTGTTGGGGTTATATCGAGGTTCGGGCTCCGGGACTGCGAGGATTTAGGGTGCAAGGGTCTAGGATGCTGGAGAGAAGGTCGCGGGTTCAGGTTGGGTTATCTCTGGTGTAGAGCGCTTAGTGTGTAGAGTTGGGGGTGTGAGGATCATGACACAGGGTTGACGGTTTCTTGGTGTACTCTATAGGGTTCCTTCTTATAACTAATTAGACGATTTAGACTATTCCTTACCCTACAAGGGCCTAAAGCACCCAATAAATAGATACTTGGGTTTAGGATAATAGCTATACTTGGACCCTTAGGGTTAGGGTTCCTGAGCATAGATATACGAATCCTTACCCCTAAACCGCAGGGGGTTCCTTAACGGTTTGAGGGGGGAGGAAGGCTCGGGTGTTGGGCCTTGAGGTTTTGGGGTGTAGGGCCCTACTAAACCCCAAAGCCTAAACCCCTAAACCCTAAACTCTAAGCCCTAAACCCTAAACCCTATGTTGGGCGTTCTGGTTTGGGGCTGTAAGGTAGGGTGAGTAAAGCTTTGGGTTTACGCTGCAGGCTTTTCGAGCCCCAGATCCTGATAACAATGGCCTCAAATGTTCCGGGTTTAGGGTTTGGATTTAAGGTTTAGGCTGTAGCCTAGGGTTTAGGGTTTAGGCTTTGGATTTTAAGGCTGACGAGGGTTTAGGGCTTGGGGTTTAGGGTTTAGGGTTTCGATTTTAAAGCTTAGGGTTTAGCCTAGGGTTTAGGGTTTAGGGTTTGGATTTTGAGGTTAGGGTTTAGCCTAGAGTTTAGGGCTTGGGGTTTAGGGTTTAGGTTTCAGGTTTAGGTTTGGGATACCAGGTTAGCGTAAGCCCTTTGGAGAAATCATCCCTTGAACCCTCAACGCCCACCTGCTCCCAAGCACTCCGGAACCATAACCGCCCAAAGCCATGAATGCTAAACCCGAAACCCATGTAGGGCCCCAAACGCTAAACCCGAAACCCCAAACCCTAAACCCCAAACCCCAAACCCTAAACCCCAGGGAGAGCTTCAAACCCGAAACCCCAACGCCAATCTCTCAAGCTGAACACGCGAAGTCCCCAAGACAAGCCAGGTACTCCTTTACAAAGATGTCGAAGGCCTCTGTATTCACATTATGTGCCCTGAGCAGCATTCAGCATGTGGGCGTCCGGCCTTCGGTTCATTGCCTGGGGTCTTAGGGTCTAGGATATGGGTTTAGGGTTTAGGGTTCGGGCTTTGGGCTTATTGGGTTTATAGGGTTTAGGGTTTACGGGTTTCGGGTTTAGCGTCTGTGTCGCTGCCCTGCATGTTGGGCATCTTGAGTTGCAGCGTCCTATAGCCATGGCAAGCGCATATCCTAAGGGTCCATGTGCCCAAAAAGTATATACTTGGGCCTTAAAGGAGTCCCTATATAGGTACCTTGGGCTCCCACTTGGGTACATGGACCCTTAGGGATATACATCGAAAAGTCACACGCAACACTGAATTAACCAACAACTCACAGAACGTCGTTGCCCAAAGGGTGCAAGAACCCTTTGTGGTTACTTTGGGTTTAAGGGTCATGTCATGTACGGCTTAGGGGTAAATTTGGCATTGGGGCATTTTAATAAAACCTTAAACCCTGAACCTTAGAGGGTTTAGGGGTTACTTACGTGTAGGAGGGGGGTTTGTGGAATGGCCCAGAGACTCCAAAGCGGCTTTTGTTTATTGTGGTACAATAGGCCTTATAATCTCAAAAGGGTTCCTGTTTTGATTTCAGGTATATATTCCTGAAGCAAGGGATATACCAGGATCCCTCATATGACGAAAGGTGTATTGGAAGGTCTGAGACCGGAGACTCCGCGCAGGCATCGGGCCAATACCGCACAGGTTCTCGGCAGCCGCAATGCTTCTGCGCAGGAGAGTTTTAGGGTTTAGGGGTTGAGGGGTTGAGGGTTTAGGGGTTCTAGGGTTTAGGGTTTAGGGGTTTTGGGGTTTAGGGTCTAGGGTTTTGGGGTGTGTGCTTTAGGGTTTAGGGTTCAAACTGGAAAGGTGAAGCTGTGTTCGACCAGGGTCTATGCTGTTGTAAGATTTGGAAATTTAGGCGGGGTCTCTAAGGTTCTAAGGTCAACACATCATATGGCAGGGTTGGTTAGTTTCGGAAGTAGGCCTCCAGTACCTGCGTTTAATTTTCCAGCAAATACTATCAGCAAATCTACCTTATACCGTAAATACCTACATAATCTTACCTCACATATTTGTTGCACGAGTTTGGGGAGGAGGGATCGGATAAAGACTGCTAGCTTGTGGCTGAGCTCGAGTGTTTCCAGGAGATTGCTTCGCTGGAAGTGGCATGCCGCTTGCCCGATTCTTGCACGTTCGATTCTGCACAGAGGGGGTTTCAACCCTGTAATGTTCAATCGGGCCAGTTGAGGGCATTGCGGTTGTCAAAGCGCACGGCAAGCCAAGAACTCTAAAGCCCTAGGCCGCTATCCCTCCAGAGAGTTCGTGATAGGCTGCGGGCACTCCGGCCTAGGATCACGTACTGGGGTTCACCCCTAAACCCTAAACCCTAAACCCTAAACCCTAATTGGAAGTATCTGCTGTTCGACAGATGGGCATTCTCGCCTCCAGAAGCCCGAGGCGTCATTCCTACTACATGGCTTCCCCATGACACCTTGCAAGACGTCAGTGCCCACCTCGCCACGATGAACCAGCACAACTTGCTTGTGCTCACGACGGGGCTAGTCACTATGATTAGATACCTCATGGCGGAGTTATCCCAATCGTTGGACATGGCACAGGTGGTGCTGAATACGCAGAATGGGGAGCCGACGGTGGACATTGATGCCGAGGATGAAGAAGACGAGGTTGACTTGATGCAGAGCTTCTGGGAAACAGGGGGCAAAGACTCTCCGCAGCGAAGGTGGGCTCGGGCACTACTTAGGCTTCACAAAGAACTAGAATCTCAGCCGAAAGCTCAGAGACGACAAAGTGCCTTGGTGTTGAGAGCCTCTTTGCCTCGGATTCACCTACACTCGGCGGCGGAGCAGTACCAGACACAGTTCCAGGCCCTCCTAGTGGCCATTCTTGACGATTGCCCGGATACTCAAGGAATCGCCCCGGTGCCTGAGACCTGGATTGCATCCTGGCTCACGGAGCTTCGGCACTTTATTCCTGAGCTGCAACGGCAACAGCCACCTCAGCTGATAGAAACACAAACACAACTCAACGTGTCCATCGACGAGTTGATCCAGGACGAGGAAGAAGAACGTGCTCGTAAGGTGGCTTTGGAGAAGCAACAAGATGACGAAGAGGAACATCGAGCTGCACAGGAACGATTGCTGGACCAGGAACTGCAACACTTGGCCTCAGAAGCTCAGGAGTATCGGGAATGGGAGCAAATGGTGGAAGCTCAAGGGCTTAAACGGGCCCCAGGGGGTGTGGACAGGGAATCGATGAAGCGCCGCTGTGTGGTTACAATGGAGGTGGCCAGCAGCAGCAGCTCGAGACCGGATCGTCGGATACACACCTTTGACTACGAACTTCCTCTAGATGGTTCCCCTCTCACGCTCACAATGAGGGCCATGATGGAGGATAACCCGTCGGAAGTTCCTACGGTGGTAGCCCCGCATACGGAACCGACTGCCGGCACGAACGGTCCGGCCCGACCGGATGGGGCGCCCTCGCCTCTGGAACAGCATGATCATCCTGCCGAGTCTAGCGAGGCACCGATTGGTGAAACAGGCGCTCTGGACAGCATGATGGTGGCGAAGCACAGTCAGGCGGACATCCTCGGCCTTATGGAGTTTGAAGAGTACACAGCGATCTATGACCAGTGGCGGCGGGGAGAACTTACACAACAAGAGCTTCTTGCACAGCACGGCCCAGACGTCATGGATTTGATCCTCGCGCAAGAAGCAGTCCAGGATGCGCTCGAGGGCGAACACTCCGAGATTGAGCATGACCCCTATGAAGCAGCTACGGTGAAACAGGAGCCGGAGATGCCACGAGATGCGAGTCCCTCGAGGCCCAGACCCAGGTACGGCATCTTCGAACAGATTTATGAAGAATGGAGGGATGGGCGAATGGCGGACGGAGACGTGATCACGCAGCACGGCCACTGCTGGTTATCTCTCTTCCAACAATGGAAGCTTTGGGGGTTGGAAGCTATTTGGTCGTTGTTGGACAAGGTGCTAGACATGGAGCCGATGCCTGACCCGACATCAAAGGCGGCCACAGCGGCACGACCTCCGGAGGAATTGCCCCTACCGCTCAGAGTCCCGCTCTTTGCAGTGCAGAAATTGTACCAAAGGTGGTCTCAGGGACAAGTCACCTCGGCGTATGTGCGACGTGAGTATGGCGAAATCTGGATTCGGCTACTGCATAGGCTCCAGACAGACAGCCCTGACAAGCTCAGACTTGGGTGGAGCACGCTTGTCGACTGGGATGCTGTTGAGGATGAGCCTCACTCTGGTGGCACTGGCTCGGGCCCCGCTGAGGGCTCCTGCTTGGAAGGCCCTTTGGGGGAGGATGATGGTCCTCCGGGCATGCGAAAGGGACCAGAAGGCACTTGGGTGAGATTCACAATGGCGCAGTTCGAGGAGGTTTACCGTGGCTGGTCGACAGGGCTCATCACAACGGAGGCCATCCGGCGCCGACATGGGGTGGACTGGCTGGCATTGCTGGTCATGTGGAAAACCTGGGGCCGTGAATCGATCTGGGACTATCTTCCCCAAGTTCTAGATGTGTTGCCAGATACAGTAGCGGCCACTCGTCCAATCGGGGCTCATCGACTTCCGCCAGCAGAGTTACATCTGCCTTTACGTGTACCGTGGTCTACCGTGAAAGAGGTGCTTCGGGATTGGCAGGAGGGCAGCATTGCCGAGGCAGAGCTCAAGGATCGCTATGGGGCAGAGTGGCTTCGGGTGCTGCAGAAGATTCGGAGTGAAGGGGTTGCCGCCAACATGCCTACACTCGACCTGCTGATCAACTGGGATGTGCCCGCGGAGATGTATGGCCCGAAGTAGTCGCACAGTGGTGGAGTCGAAAGCTCGAAATGCAGATGGTGAAGATTGGTCCGGTCTGAGGGAGCATAGCTGTTGCCTTCCCCGATGGGGATTTCGTTAAGCTGGATTGGCGAGACGGAAAAAGGCGTTCAAAAAAAAAAACCCTAAACCCTAAACCCTAAACCCCAAACGGGAGCATTTGCATGTCCGACGCTGTTGCTCCTAGGACCCCCGAAGACCCAGACCCCGGCATCTCGAAGCCTCCAAGCCATCAGTCCAATCCCACAATCAGGGCCCCTTTTAGAAGTTCCTGATAAAGGGCTCTATAAGGGTTCCTGCAGTTCCTATAGGGGTTTCTATAAGGGTACTATAATAAGGGTTCCATGTGGGTAGTTCTCGAAATTAGGGTCCCTTTTGGGGTCCCCAAAAGAATTCGGCACCCTCATTAAGGATCCTAAAAGGGGACCCTAATTTAGAGAACAACCCACATGCAAGTAAAGCTCCTAATTACTAAACCCCACTGGATCAACGACTCTACGCAAGGCCTTACACCTTTTCAGAAGATGATCGACAACGACTTTTTCCGCTTCTCCCCCTGGCGGCCGCCTGTGCGCACCTTGAGCTGCATTGTCATGTTGAATAAGAGGCCAACTCAATGCTTAGCAAGGGGATTTTGAGTACGGACATGTAAGGACTAGCAAGGGTACTAAGTTCTACACTCTAAGCTTAAGTATTCCCTGGGTTCGAAACGGTTCTGCGCCACCAACGCCTTCAAGCCTAAACCCTAGATGCCCATACTAAGGGTTAAGATGGATTAAGCATAGGAGCTCCCAAGGCCAACTATCCCAATGAAGCACAGTTGGGTTTTTCTTAACAAATGTGCATCAAGGTAAGTATGTCAAGTATAGTACTAGGCCTTTACATATATATATATATGTGTACATACATACATACATACATACATACATACATACTAGCATAGCATAGCATAGCATAGCATAGCATAGCATAGCATAGCATAGCATAGCATAGCATGGCATAGCATAGCATAGCATAGCATAGCATAGCATCGCATGGCATAGCATAGCATAGCATAGCATAG